TAAACACCAGCGGTAATGTTACCAGTGAAACACCAGCTTAAGGAATACCATCTTGTTTTATAAAAAAATTATTTTATTAAATAAAATTATTAAATACAAAAAATTTATTTCATAGATTATATCTTTTTACACATAATCATATTAATTTCTTTCTAAACATTGTTCCTTTACAACAATACACAAAACAAAACAAAAAAAAACAATACTTTTCTCTTTTACTTTTAATATACTAATAATCAATCTATTATTGTTGCAAAAGAAAAATAATCTTTTAAATATTTATCTTTTAAAGATTTCGAATATTCGAATTTTCCAAATAAAGATAGTTCATTTACTTTGGTACAATTACTTCGTGTATCATCTCTTGTATAATGATGTGTTACTTTTTGTAATGCTTTATAATCGACATCAAGAAGAATATTATTTTGAAAATATGTTTTCGTATTACATAGAAATTCTTCAATATAATCATCATGAGCTAGATGATATATACGAAGTTCAATAAGATAATTATATTTAACAATTGATAAATTCTGATTATCATTCATTAATTTATAAGATTGTTTATAATTTTGTGCATAACTATTATCAATAGATAATTTTTTCATAAAAGGAAATGATTGAGCAATTCGAATAAAAAATTCATGTTCAAAAGGATATTCATCATATAATGATACTTTACAAACATATCGATATAATCCACCTGGAAAATTATTTGTTACATCTTCATAATGTTTCATTAAAAATGGATATGAATAAATATGACATAGACCCTCTTTATTGTTTAGAAAATAATCAAGACAAGATATTGTTTTCGTATATAGAAAATCATCAAATGTTCGTTGAATGTCTTCTTTCGATGGTAAATTCATTTCATTATAAATACATTTACGAGAACGAATATCAAATGTAAATTGTTTTAATTGTGACATATGATTAAGAATATTTTTCGTCAAATTATGTCCATCAATAAATGTTTCTTTAACACAGATCGTGAGATCTAAATCAAGTTCTTCTAAATTTGACATTCGATAAATAAGTGGAAGAATTAATTCATCATAATATCCTGTTCTCATTATACAAGACAAAA